TGTCCCAAATGTTTCGCAACTCCTGAGTATCATTCTATTTGAGGCTGATAGAAGCATAGCCAACCATGTCTGACACATAGTTATCTTGCAGATTGTCTCCTTTTTCCTTCTGAGTCTTTTCTGACCATAGTCGTACTTCTGCATTTTTTACCTCTTTCATTATAACCCATTTGTCAATTAATGCAAACTATTTGAGTTTTAAAGAACAATTTGCATATCAACACCTCATTTAAAAGATGCAAATGATAATAAGAAAATAAAACAAAAATGAAAGGAAAAATTTAGTAAAATAAGAATAATAATGAAAACATAAATTTCTACCCAACATGATATTTACCCACATGCTTTTTATTCCTACCCGGACATGATCTACATCCTGCATGTTATTTTCTTAAACAAATCCTAGCCGCATGCACTTTTAATTCGCATGCTTTGAACATTAAAAATAAAGCAAGAAATAAATCAAGCATACTAGGTTTTGAATGAAGTTTTGGGGTGGGCTCTAATTCCTTGTAGCATCACGGGTTGGTTCTAAAAGAGGTACCCGAGTTTTCTTTGCTAGTGCCCCCTTGGACTTGTCAGACCCTCAGCCCTAAACCCATCACTGGCTCATGTGGACCAAGTTAAACTCGAAAGGATACATTCCCTTATGTATGTACGTAGAATAAATTCACACGAAGACGTAAGGTATATGAATCCTGAAGGTTACTTTCTAGACCTATACGGAGAATAAATTCCCACGAAAGCATCGCTTTCATCCCCACTTAAAATGGTTTGGATCTCAGTAATAGAGCCTGAGATGAATGATTTTTTTTTAAAAAAAGCTGAAATCATTAGAAAACTATCAGTGCAACTATTTATTTGAAAAATAATAATCAAAGGTATATAACAAGGATTGAAAAGATAAATTATAATCCCCAGCGGAATTATTTGGCGACTTTCACTTAGGAAGACAATCGAGAATCGTTTTGGCCTAACTTTCTTACCTGAGTCCTCAGCGGAGTCGCCAAATTGTCATAACCATCCTTCAATTGGTCCCAAAACAGGGTTTCGACTTAATTTGATGTGATCGAGTCACCACCGATCATTTTAAATTAGGTTGATCGGACACCTTAACTTACCATGTATCTTATCTACGATTTACCAGAAATTTGTCGGATTCAGGAGTCGATTACAATCAAGAAATGATTAGCATTCTCGTACTGCCCTTTCGGTACCAATTTGATTTCTCGCTTGTCTTAATTGCAAAAGTTACAATTGAAATTAAAATTTAAATATTCGATATGATTAACCAATTTAAAATTGCCTAAAAAAATAAAATTAATGTTAAACAATAAAATAAAATAAATAAAAAGATATAAAATTAAAAAATTAAAGAATATTAAATTGAAAATAATTAAAGAATTTGGGGGTCAAATTGATGCTAAATGAAATTTGCAAGGAGAAAATAAAAAAGTTAGGGGTCAATTTGCAAAATGTAAGAAATATAAACAGGGATTAAATTTCGAGGGCAAAATTACAATAGGTGACCAAAATGAATTATGTATCAAAACTTTAAGGATTGTGGAAATAATTTAAGAATTTGCTAATTACATAGAGGTCCCCTATAAATATCCCTTAAATCACATATTCCACTCATTTTCAACCATTTCTCAAAATCTACACCCCCCAAACTCTCTAATTCTCTCCTCACCTGGCTAACCGGCCACCCAGTAGCGCCTAAAGCCATCGTCGACCGCCACTCCGGCCACCACCGCTGGTGGCTGAAAAACTCAAACTTACTCAAAAATATTCCTCCCGATGTCCCGAACCCAAAATCGACCCCTAAACATCCAAACAATTCCCCTATTTAAGTATATCTAGGCCTAAAAATTTAATTTTTTACCTTTTCTAGCAAACATTTTCAACTTTCGTTAACCAATGCCTTTTCGAGCCAAAGTTGCTGTTAACCTATATTTTCCTTTGATTTTTTGATCGATATCAGGATGTTATTTTCGTATTTCGCTTGGCTGCTTCGATTTTTCGTTCGATTGCTTTTTTTTGCTATATATTGCTTTGTTTCTCTTGGTGTACTTTGATAGCCTTTTCGAGGTGTATATAACCCCCAGTCGATGGTTGTTTATGAGTATCTTGAGATGGTGCAGTATTGATTTGCACATTTTACATTTGTTGCTGAAGTTGACCGAAAAATAATCGGGGAAATATTTTTCCTTTTGCTTTTGTTTTGCTCTGAAAATCTTGGTCGGTTGGTGACCTTGCTGGCGTGTGACTTCCACAATGGCCCTAGTTAATTGCGGCACTTATGCTAAGTATAAACCCTAATCCATTAGGTCAGGCAGATGGGCTTAGCTGGGTCTCCGGGTTTGCTTGTTGGGTCAGGCTTGTATTACCCGGTTGGACTTCATTTTGGACCCGAAGGGACCCTTGAACTAATTTATTAGACCCCGGACGAAAATGGGTGTCTACATGTTATAATAACAATTTTAACCCCAATATTTATTCCTTTTGAATCTTCTTCTTTTGTTTCTTTTTTTAGACTTCAAAATGTAGTTAAATTGTTTTTTCTTTTTTTTTTTCTTTTTACATAAGAGCATTTGGGATTAAATAAAGTGTTATAAGAACTAAAAGAAAATAATATAATAATTTTGAATTAAATAAAATGTTATATTAAATATAATATACTAATTTTATTCTATATAGCATTAACTAATTTAAATTTAATTTAAATTTTAAATTATAAAATTTAGAAACAAATTATAATCAATTTTGGATTAGATAAAATGTTATGAGAACTAAAAGAAAAGGAATAAAAGTTTTTATATTTAACATGTAAATCACCCAACATATTCTAATTTTTAAAAAAAGGGTAAACTATGCAAATGCTCACTAAAATTTAAGTAAATTTTGGTTATCCCCATTGGAGTTTCAACAGTAATGAATTGATCACTAGTGTTATTGATTTATAACAAATTAGTCACTCGCTGTTAATGATCATTAAGGAGGGTGATAGAATGATGATGTGGCATGTTACAATTAGGGATTGACATGGTTCAGATTGGGTCGAGTTTCCATCCAGTCCGACTCGAACAAAAAATTTTATGTCCTCCAATCGAAACCTAACCCGACCCGACTTTAGGATAATTTCACCTGACCCAAAACCAGACCCGACTTTTGAGATAAAACCCGACTTCGACTTTAACCCGACCCAAAATAAAATAAAAAATAATATAAAAGAAGTATTATTACAATTATCCCTAAATATATAATATATAATTATGTTATTTTTTTGATCAATCGGATATTTTTCATCTTAAACCTGAACCAAACTTTTCTTCTAAAAAATTTTGGACAGATAATAGCCATGCTACGAGAATTGTTCGTTATCTTGGGCTCTTATGCATTGCAAAAATATGAATTCTTTAAAAAGTTTATATACTTCAATGTGAAATAAAATCTAATACGAATATTCACCGACAACACAAACTAGTAAATAAAAATTATATTCACAACAAACAAAAATTAAAAAAGTTTTAAACAAGATTCAATAGAATCTCTGACTAAATAATGTTAAAACCACGTAATTTTATTTATATAACGAGTATTAATTAATCAATAAACTAATAATTCATTTATTTATAAAGATTTTTTAATTCAACGAACCACATTATTTTTAATAAAAACAACATATGCATTGTATTAATTAATTAAATGATATTCATATACAATTTAATATAATTTATATCCCTAACAATGATACATACTCAGAAATCTAAAAGTTTAGAAGAATTTGTAATGTTATTAAAAATCCTATTAAGGATGAAATTAATTTTTTTTGTTATAGTGTAGAAATGTAATTCCGAAAATTTTATATACAATAAAAAATTAAAGATAAAATACAATTAGATTTAAATTTAAAAAGAATCAAATAACAATAAAATCATATTTTATTAAATTATTCTAATGATATAAAATTATTAATTTTTAAATATTAAACGAATCATAAATTTATCCAAAGGTATTTCGAAAAATTATTATCTTATTAATTTATCAAAATTATTAATTTAAGTCTTAAATCCAAATCGAGATAAAAAATATTATTTCAACGAAGTCATTAATTTATTGAGTTTTAAATTATAAAAATTCCATTGTACTACCTTATAATTATTCTATTAAAAAAATAAATTATACATTTAATACCTAAATGATCATTTTTATTTTATTTTAATACCTAAACTTTATTTTTTTTAAATAATAACTATCTAATTTAAGTTTCAATTTAATATCATACCGTTAAAAAAATAACAGAATCACTGACATGATTTTTTCTAGTGATATTTATCAATGTTATCAAAATCAGACCGGATCGGCCAATTCGACCGGTTGAATAGAGAACCAGTTGCCTATCCGGTTCAATCAGTCTCCAAAACCAGTTTTACAATAAACTACTAAAGAACCGATAGAACCGGTTGGGAACCAGTGTGAACCAACGGTTCAAACAGTTCACACGGTTCTATTTTTTTAAAATTAAACCAAACGACATCATTTGTAAGCGATGAACTCTATCCCTTTGATTTTTTTTTCAACCCCAAATTTATTTTATGATTTTGCATCTAAATTAAACCCCAAACTTATAATATTTTTATACCTTTTAATATTGTGAACTTAAAAAAAAAATTATATATATATATTAATATTACTTTGAATATTATGTAAAACTTTTAAAAAATATTATTTTATATAAACCGATTCAACCACGGTTGAATCAACGAATCAATACCTTCACCGGTTTAAAATCCGGTCCGGTTTTAAAAACATTGATATTTATGATGATACGTTAACATCACTGTTATACTTTTTAAAATAAAATATCAGTTTAAAATTTAAATTAACTAAACATTAAACATGATTTTGAAAATAAAAATATTAAAATAAAAAAAGTGATAATTTGAATATTAAACATGTATTTTACCCCCAAAAAAAACATTCCCAAGCTCTAGAAATTAAGCAAACTTTAATGCGGTCGGATAGATTTCATTCATAAAACTCTAGAAATTAAGCAAGCAGCTTTAATGTCTGCGAGATAAAAGTACCACTAAGCACCACAAGAATATGAGACAAACCAAACCAAACTTATTCAACCAAAAGCCCACAACACATAGAGGCCAACCCAACTTTTCTAGAAAATAAGCTTCAGATAACCACTCCCTTAACCAAGGCAATGTTAAACCACTGACATCAAGTACAAGTACCAAGTTTTTAATCTATATATGCAAGCCCTGGTCGTAGGAAATAACAAGGACGCTCCTACGGAATTTCCAACAAGTTTTATGTAACCTTACCAGCTCAGCCTTCCTACATTTCCGCCGCTCATCATTCGGTCCTGCTACATCACTAAGGGCATCAAGTATGGGACGAAAAAGGATAGAAAGGCAGAGAAGAAATGAAACTGTTTGAAAACCAAACCTTGATTACGATCCGCAGGGAATTTTAGGGAATTGCAAGCAGAAGCGGTACCTACGAAAGCTCGAGCTCTGGTGCAGGCTTTGCTGTTGACCCCCATCATATCCTGCACCGTCAATGGGGTAGAGTTGATTGATTGCTATTCTGAATCATCATATGCTTCTTCATCAGAAAATTCATCAAACGATCTCATGTCCAGTTGGTATCGAAGTATGCCTCCAATACCGCCAAACCCACGGCAAAACTGAGAACCCTCTTGTGATTTGTTAGTAACGAACTCCAGAGTACAACCAAATCGCCTGTACTCATTTGCAAACCACTCTAAAAGCGACATCTTCTCTATAACCTCTAAATCAGTGGAACTGGATGGATCACGGAAGTTGTTCGCATTAGCTTCCTGCTCCTTGTTCAAATGTTTTATGACAACTTCACCAGTAGTGCTATTCTTCAGCTGATACCTATTTATGTCCAGATTTTCCCACACAATAAGTATCTCAACAGCTCCCACCTCCAATGCTTTCAGTGTGTCATCCACACCAAAAACATACTTCCCTGTATCTTGACTAATCTCCTCAAAGTATTTCCCTATCAATCGCTTCTCTTGTATGAATTTCACATTTGACAGAATTTCTGAGGAAAGCTCAATTGCCTGGTTGAAACCATTCTCTCCTCCATAACAGACATCAACCACATTCAGAATCTTAACCTGAAGCCGCTGATCAAACATATCCGATTGACTCAGCTCAGTTTTGAAGTCAGCTGATCCAGCAAGTATTAATCCAGATACATTAGGCTGGCTGGTGGCAGGATTGATAAAAAATTGTGTGGCAAGTTCAGCAGTCTTCCTCACATAGTTGTGGCGCTTTTCCATTCGAAGTCGAGCAAAACGAAGGGCAGATTGTCCTCCTCTCCCATGCTTCTTAGGAAGATCGACACTGAACTTATGAAGTACCTCTCTGGAGTTACCACTTAATGTCCCAAAAAGAGTCCCGTTACCATCCATCACAATGAAGCCAAACTTATCATCAGACTCCAAAAGTTCATTCAGTGCCTCTGTGTGAAACTTGTTGTCACAAAGATAAAGAGAAGCATTTATAGGCCTGAAAGGCTCAAAATCAATCGTGACTTTCTTTTCCTTCCCATCTTCGGTCACAATTGTTCCTGTGTAGAGCACCAGACCATTGGGAGGAACCTTACTGTAAAGTTTGAGCCTCTGCTGAGCAGATGTGATTGCACCTAACACAGATTGACGGTTGACTCTGCTTTTGATGTTTGAAGCAGTTCCAAATTCATCTCCAAGCATCTTGGTAACCCTAGAGATCTGATCACGTGGAGGCATTATGAGGGATATCATGCTGGTGCCGTTGCCTCTAGCAGCCTCAAGTGCTTTAATCAGCTTCTTGATCTTCCATATCTCAATATTTTTGTCACTCTCATGACCGTCCGCCATCGCCAGGTGAAGTAGAGATTTCCAAGAACAACAGCAGGCTACAAAATTACCCAAATTGTTAAGAACTATAATTCGAATCAATTACAAAAAGAATCATTAAATGTCAACGTTATCAAAAGAAAGATCCACTCAAATCAAATCATAATCCCCATCAAGTACAGGTAAAACCAAACATCAAAAGAAATTATATATATACCTTCACTTGTACCATGTCAAGTTATTTATACAAAATGATCTAAAATAATTGAAACAAATTATTAGAGGCTGACGCAGTAATTCTTCAAAGAGCCATCAAAATTCACAAAATTTAAATAAACTAATAGGCATAAAAGCATGATATACTAGAGATAATACAAACAAGTCAAATCTAAGAACAAAGACGTTAAATACACCACATAACAGGAAGAAATACTTCGGTAAGATAACTAATATTTCCGATTAAAAATTATCAAAAACAAAAACTTTCTATCAACATAATTATTTCAACGGATTCTCCTTACAAATATCACATAGAATAATATAAGTTCGTAATATCATATTTTTCTTAAAAAAATGAAAACAACGGACATATTATACACAAAATTACATACAAAAATAAAGAAAAATTAAAAGAAATTAAACCGAAGCGATTTCCAAAATTCCTTCGTCGATCAAAATAGAGTTTACATGAAGAATCAACTGGGCGAACAAAAAAAAATAGATAGAGATGAAAAGCATGAACCTGCAAATTTGCAAGAGCCGAGCGCAGCCGATAATAACAATTTTCTAATCTGGACGGCACGCAAGTTTCCTTATATAGACACGAAGCTGCGGCCCTAGAACCTTGTATGGTAGGATTGTAATTTTATATTATTCTTACAAGAAAAAAAGAAAATGTTTTATACGGAAGGTGGGAAAGAAAAATAAATAAATATCTTCGCTCTCTGACCAATAAATAAATGGGTAAAGTATAGTAATGGTTATTGAATTTTTCTAAATCTTTCATTTAGGTCCCCTAACTTTTAAAACATGCAATACAATCCCCCAACATTTAGTCTGTTTGTAATATGGTCCCCCAACAGTTACGTCAGGGACCATATTGCAAACGGACTAATGAGGGATCATATTGAAAATGGACTAAATGTTGAGAGACCATATTGTAAGTTTTAAAAGTTGGGGACCTAAATGAAAGCTTTAGAAACGTTCAGTGACCATTACTATATTTTACCCTAGATTTTATTAGAGGAATCTGTACTGAAGTCAACTCTAAGGCATAGTATAGATCTTTGACTTTGGATTGATCCATTTTCTAATAAGGCATGAAAAACAAATTAGGTTGCATGAATAATTTTTGCAAGCTGCCTCGTGCATGGAATGATTGTCATTAGAAATAAAATGTTGGGTAATCTTTCTAGCATCAGGAAACATTAGATCTGTCATAATCTGTCAAACAAAAGATAGCCCATCGAAAATTAATACAAAACTGTTAGTAAAAATCAATATGCAGAAATAGGTGCAGTGGTATGATTCTTGCATATGGTACGAGAGGTCCCAAGTTATATGACCATAAAACTGGGAATTAAGTCAACTCCAAAAGTGGAATAATATAGAAGCTTAACTTGAGATCTGTTTGTTTTCTGACAAGAATCATTTACAATTAGTAAGAAAAAATGGATCGTTCTATTTTCCAAAAGTTAATTTTTGGGCCTCTAATCTTAGTCATAAAGGAATTGAGATATGCAACAAAAAATCAAACTTCCAAACTATACTAGCTGGGGCTAGCAGTCGCATGGCCACAATATCCACTCCCTTTACCCTATTCTGAAGGTAGGACTTGGTCCTCCATCTTTATGCAAAAAGCTTTTCTATTCAGTTTGCAATGCAGAGCCCCCAAAAGACAAGGTTACAGGGGCAGAACATTGATTGAGTAGTCACTAACTGCCTAATTGTCCAATAACATCTTCCTTAAACCATTCTTGTACAACATTCAACTCACCAACAACTAAGCATATAGCCATATAACCATCCAAATTTATCAGATTCTTGAAGAAAAGAGCTAATGATTGAAAAGAAATCATGTTAAACATCAAAGATTGGGTACTTCAGCTAGTAGTATAATTCCACTAGCATTCATCTAGAAAACAAGTTAGCAGAGAGAATCCAATCAAAATTCACAGGGACTTGAAGAAAAATAGTTAACAAATAAAAACACATTCTATTAAACATCAATCATTGAACATGTTATCTAGTCGTATGATTCTCTATTCAAGTATGAGACCTACTAACTTCAACTCCCTAAATGCACCAAACCCTTTCTTTTTCCATTTCCAAAATTTACAACTGGAAATCAAATAATTGATCATCATAATTCAGCTCCAAGTCAACTTTAAATTAAGAGTATATTGATATAGAAATTCAAGTATGGCTGGGTGGATGGGACTCTTTTTCTATCATAATATACAAAATCCAAGAGCTAACTTAACCCTAGGCTCGAAGCGATTGGAAAAAAAATCAAAGAATGCTCGTGAAACACTAAAATATATATTTAGAAATTGAGAAATCATCAGTCGAAAACATCCACTTACCTTGAACAAAAACCACGAGAAATTAGTAAACAGTATAATAGAACAAATAACACAAGAAGTCGTCAAGCTCCATATAGCAGCAACTAATAAGCGGTTACTGGTTAGTTTATGAGGAGTTGGGCGGCCCATTTAAATGACTGGAAAATAGAGGAAGAATGAAGGGAAAGCTTTAAGTGGTTAATTTCCATGGTTTTCGTCGACAAGGAAAGGGAGTCAAGTAGAAAGAAGTGAATTCAGGAACCATATTGCAAATGGGCTAAATGTTGAGGGACCATATTGCAAACGGACTAAATGTTGGGGGATTATATTATAAGTTTTAAAAGTTGGGGGACCTAAATGAAAGCTTTAGAAAAGTTCAGTGACCATTACTATACTTTACTCTAAATAAATATCTTCACCGAAGCTGAAAATGAGTTGAGTTGAGTTTGTTTAAATATTGTTAAGTAAATTTGATTTAAAAAATTTAAAGTCAAGCTCGACTGGAACTGAAAATTTAAAATTGAAGCTCGACTCAACTCAAAAGCTCGCAAGCTTAAAATTTTCAAGCTTAACTCGAAATAAAAAATTAAAACTCGACTCGAACTCAAAAAACTTTAACTCAAAATATTCTCAGATTTAGCTCAATTGAAGCTCAAACTCGAACTTGAACTTTAAGTACATAAATGTTTTATATTGTATTAAAAAACATATAAATATTAATATTATTAATAATTTAATTTAAAAATAAAAAATTAATATATTATTTTTTAGTTGCTCGCGAACTTTTGAAGTCGTGTATCAAGTAGCTCGCTTCAGCTCGTTAAAGAACTCTACTCCATTCTATTCAAGTGTTTATCGAACTTTGATCAAATCGAACTCGAGTAGCTCGCGATCTATCTCGTTTCATTTACAACCCTAGTTTTCACTCCATCTTGAGTACCTATATCAATTCTAGTTTCGATATCTATAGAAATAATTAGATAGTGATTCTATCATGCCGATAACGATACCACCCTCATGAATATTGATATTTACATTGAGAATCGATACCAAAATCAATCTCAAAGTTTGAATAAATCCCTTCGACTCGATATCGATAACTTATGAATAATATTGATACCTTGATAAATTGTATTGATACTCAAGACTAAACTTACCAATATCTCTACACTCATTCAACATGTATGAATACTACAGGAATAGTACCAATATCAAAACTCAAAAAAAAAAAAGACTTGTAAAATATGAGAACCACTTTCAAATCACTTCTATATGTCACCGTTTAAACAAAATGTTATTTATAAAGTTTAAAGGCGTCCTAAGATCATTTAGCATCTAAATATCATACGTTAAACACTCAATTAAATATTTTAAGCCATGATTATGCATAATACACAACATGTGTTTTCAAGCTAAATTCTATTATAAGGTATTATCTTTCTGATAGTCATAATACTACATTAAAGATATACTATCTTATGCAAAATCAATCAAAGAAGGTTCTTTGCTCATGATTCACTAAACTTTATTTTGCCTCTAAGTTTAGAGGGTTCTCTTTTCTGATAGATGATTCACATTTGAAAAAAATTAAGATGGGGATTAAAGAGTTTTGGGAGTGAGAGAGAAGTAGGGGGAAAAAGCAAATTTGATTTAGGGAAAAGTTGGTGAAAAATGGAGCATTTTTCCACTGATATTGGATGGTGACATATAGGAAAACAACCCAAATTAACCCTTTTTTACAATGGATTATTTATACTCTTGGTCCCTCAGCCATTAAACTCTCATAAAAATTATCTTTTTCTATTCCCTATTGAGCCTAGTTAAGGGTTAATTTGTCTCAATCAACCAATAAGATTCTAAACCGGCTTGAGGCTATCCTAGGTCAACTCCATATGTTGATTCATAAATTTGGGCTATTACGTTTTTCCTCTACTTAGACGGTGCCAAGTGTCACTTTTTGATTAGAGTCATATCATTATCGAAAAATAAATTAAATTAAATAATAAAAAACTGTCCAATCAGGTGGTGTTGTGTGTCGTGACACATGTCACTATTGATATATGTCACCATCTGATTTGAGGATTATTATTTTTAATTAAGTAAATATTATGATCAAATTGATAGAATGTATAAATAATAATAACAAAATGTGTAATTATACTAATTTTATTAACTGCCACGTAATTTCATTAGCTATTAACGACGAATGGCTTGATTGACAACATTTAAATAGTTAACTAGTATGGATAATTAAATTAAAAGATTGATGGTCAAAATAAAATTTATCCATAGTTAAGTGGTCGTGGCATAATTCACCCTTAGTTTCATATAGACAATGGAATTGCTACTATTAATCCTCTTTCGGAATTCAGTCTATATATCTTCAATTTTGAATACTTCCAAAAGGATAAAATAATAATATAATTACTTTAGTTGATTATTATTAAAAAAAAGGGTGAAAATCAAGTGTGATAAAAATGTTATCAGAAAATATAACATTTTAGGTTGAAAATAGCGAGATTAAGGTGAATATCTCCATTCAAATATTAAAGACTCTCAAAAGATGATAACATACTTGTGACTATGTGTATCTGCTCAGCCCCCATAATATCGGCAATTCGGACAAATAAAGACTCGAGTTTCTTTTCCGTTTTGGCTCAATTTCAATCAAATATTGTTAGTTTTCGAAGTTTTCCTTGTATATGATACCTTCCATTGGTTGAATGTTGGCTACTGACGAATCACCAATAATCTTTGCAAGAACAAGAGCCATCATCGAATGAGTGAAAGCGACTTCGATCTCTAACCACGAGTTTTAACCTGTAAACTTTAGAGATCAACTTCATGACAGTATGACAGTCTCTGCATATTCTCAGATTCTTTACTACTCTTATGACCTTTTCCTTAGATAGCCTTGACATCCCGAAAGCTACAGCAAGCTTCTCACTGTGTTTGGATAATAACTCTTCCTTTTCTTCCTCATCTACATCGTGCAATACACTTGCAACTTCAGGAACATAACCTCCCTCAACCCTAAGCCTTGACATTATCTCCTTCAGCTTCTTGTAAGCCTCTTCTGTCGCCTTATTCGATTTTTCCCTTGCCACGAACCTATACATGGTCCGGTCAACTTCAATCATACTCCAACCAGGTATTTTCTTTATCTTCTGATCCTCCATCAACCGCCTCACAGTGGCAACATCCTTCCATTTCCCCGCAACTGCATAAATATTTGACAGTAGCACGTTATCACTGGAGTCGTCAGGTTCTAGCTCAAAAAGTCTAGCCTTTGCTAGCTCCGCCAACTCGATATTCCCATGAATGCTGCAAGCACCCAGAAGAGTCCGCCAAATTATAGCATTTGGTGATATTGGCATTTGAGATACAAAGTCATAAGCCTTCTGCAGGTAACCAGCTCGACCGTACAAATCAACCATGCAGCCATAGTGCTCAACCGTAGGTTCGATATCATACACATCCTTCATCCTAGAAAATAAGCTACATCCTTGTTCAATTAACCCAGCATGACTACATGCATATAGGAGAGAAACAAACGTAATCTGATCTGGCCTAATTCCACATCCTTCCATCTCATTGAAAACCAGTATCGCCTCCTCTGCATGACCATGCATTGCAAGCCCTTCTATCATCGAAGTCCAAGAAACAATGCTCTTATATGGCATACTCCGAAAAACTAATCCAGCCATCCCTACACTCCCACACCTTGCATACATATCCACAAGTGCATTGTTTACAGTAGTAATCCAACTAACCCCAGATTTCTCAATAAAACCATGCAAGGTTTTACCAAGCTCAACCGCCCCAGCTTGGGAACAGCCTGAAAGCACCCCAGTCAAGCTAACCTCATTGGGTCTCAACCCCACCATTAGCAACTCCCTAAAATATGCAAAAGCTTCATCAAACCACCCATTATGAGCAAATCCTACAATGATGGTACTCCAAGAAACATCATTCTTCACTTTCATCTCCCAAAACAATTTACTAGCAAGCTCCATCTCCCCAGCTTTTGCATACCCTGCAAGCATTACATTCATTGAAGTTGAATTCTTAAAAGGCATCATATAAAAAATTTCTCGAGCACTTGTTATATCCCCACACCTAAAGCAAGCCGTGAAAACCGAATTCCAAGCAACAAGATTTGGCTCACGCATTTCGTCGAACAGTTTCTTAGCGAAACCGACAGAGCCGCATTCTCCATACATGCTTACCAAAGTCGTCCCAACAAACAAATGGGTATCGAACCCATGAATCAGAGCTTGACAATGCAGCTGGATCCCAGCTCTCAGTGACCCATAATTCGCCGCCGCCTTAAGAACAAATGCAAAAGAGAAGCTATCAGGAAGAACCATTGATTTCCTACGCATATCAACGAAAGTATATATTGAATTTTGAGGGATAGCCGATTCCAAGAACCCTCGAATAAGCGTGTTATACATGAACGCATCCGGGTTTGGAAAATGATGCAAGAGACGGCGAGCGTAGTGGAGAGCATCGGAGACCGTTACTGCGTAATGGAGAATTAGTTTACCGGCGAAAAAAGGGTCTGAGTGGTAGCCGGTTTTGACAAGGGAAGCGTGGATTTGTTTGAGGGTCTTGAAGGTTTTGCAGCTGGTGAACAAAGAGATGCAATGGTGAGGTGTGCTGTTCATTTCTCAGTTATCTTCATATCCATGCATGCTCCATGGCTCTACTTTTTCGTTGCCAAATTGTTTAGGCAATGGTCAGTTTATTAAAAATAGGGTAACCTGTGTAAATGATCACTAATCTTCTAAGTATGTTTTTGTTTTTGTCACTAACGATTTTGATTATTCCCTGATCTTTTACTTTGAAAATGTTCACTCATTTCAAATAAATAATCATTTTGGGGTCATAATTTAAATTCATATATTTTTGCTGTTAAAACAACTCCTAATTAATTAAGTACAGACTTCAGATGCCATAAAGTGTTAATCCTTTTATTCTCGAACCCAATATAATTTTAAAGTGCTTACTATAAAAATATCTTTTTAGAAAAGATTTTTTTAATTTTATTTTAAAATTATATTTTATATGTTGGATCATACAGCACCCTAAATCACTGGTGATGACTTTATTTTCATTCAACTCTTAACGCGTTTAAATCATTTTTAAAATAAAAAAATGGAAACGTCACGACATATATAATTATACCTATAAATTTTAGATTTTAATATATATATATATATATATATTAAATTTTGCTTTTCATTTTATTTATATATGTAAAATATAAATTTAAAAATAATATTATGTTAATTAAAGTATTAATACTTAATAGTATGTAAAAACTATTATGAATTTAGGGTTTTTGCCTTGTGGTTTTCTCTTGGTCGTTGGCTATTCCCAAGGCTTTTGCCTTTGTTTTCACTAATCATTGTGGCTATTTTTAGTTAACGATTGAGTAACAATAAATCAGATTACATCATAATCAAGGATATGACAGATTTGGATCGTACGTTGGAAGAGCTAAACATAGGTATTACTTGGAAGAGGCTATACCAATCGAGCGAAAAAAAGTGGAGGATGGATTATCGTTTGAAAACTGCCCGGTGGGGATGCTCTTAACTTCCAGTCTGGTAAATTTCAACGCAATGAAAACAATGCTAGCTAATGTTTGGCGACCAATATGAGGGATTTCCATCACTAAGTTGGGCGAGAGTCGATACCTATTTCGATTTTATCATGTAATCGACCTTTAACAGAATCACAAACGAAGGGTTATGGTACTTTAATTCACACATATTAGTATTTCATCGATTACAAAAAGGTGAGAATTTGGGGAAGTTCCTCTACACATTGTGGATTTTTTGGGGAAGTTCCTCTACACATTGTGGATTTTTGGTGTACATAAACGACTTACCGACGGGTTATATCTCGGAATAGATGGCAAGACAATTGGGTAATTTTTTGGGAAAATTTTTATCATTAGGGTATCGAGGAAGCATACGAGCGAGGGTTAGATTGGATGTCAGGTTCCCACTGAAAAGAAGGAAAAAAACTAGCTTTACCAAATAAGAAGTTCGTTTATGCATCGTTTCAATACAAGAAACTGAGGTTGTTCTGCTACCTGTGTGGAAAACTAGGGCACGGAGAGGGTTTTTGCCCGCTATGACTAGTTAAAGACTTCAAAAAATCAAACCTGCAGTGGGATGCTTTTCTAAAGGCATCTACAAGACAACGATTGGGTTAGACAAGTCCTTGGTTACGGGAGGATGGACCAACAGATTACACCAGGAAGGCAAGGAGGTAAGGCAGATGGAAGTGGAGAAGGGGGCAAAATTACAAAACCAAACTAAAGACCAAGCAAATGTAGGAGAAAGCCAAAGGACCCTGGGGAAAAGTGTAACATCATGTTGGTTAAACTCGTTTATTAGAAAACTCTACCCGCATAATAGGGATGTTCTGGAAAGAGACCAGGCAAATGATGTAGTGATGGTTGGAGTATAGAGGAACTGCCTTAGGAAAAAGGGGAATGACTAAAAAGACAACGACATTCGTACTCGACGGTTTCAAGTTTATCACAACAAGATTCCAAGAATCTTCCTGAAAAATATATTGGCAGGCCCGAGGATCCAAGCCAGCCGGACACAATGAAACTCTTATGTTGGAACGTCCAAGGTTTGGGTAACCCCCAGGCGGTTAAACTCCGACACATCTTGAGAGACATTAACCTAACTGTGGTTTTCTTGTCTGAAACAAAACTACAGAGTTCACAGATGACAACCATAAGAAGATCTTTGGGGTTTTCAAATGGTTTAGAAGTAGAGGTGAGAGGAAGTAGTGGAAGATTATGTCTGGCATAGAGGGATACAAGTGACGTTTCCCTTAGATCTTTTTCAATGTCTCATATTGACGTTATCATCACAGAGTTAGCTGAGAAAGTAAGATGGAGATGCACAGACTTTTATGGAGCGCCAAAGGAAAATAGAAAGAATGACTCATGGGACTTATTGAGGAGTCTAAATGATGAATCTAAACTCCCCTGGTTGGTAATAAGGAATTTTAATGAGAGATTGTTTTCTTATACTCGAGAGAAACGAATAACAAATGAATGAGTTCCAAAGGGCCTTAGAGGATTGCCAATTAGAAGATGTGGGCTACCAAGGCCCCTGGTTTACATGGAAAAGAGGAAGAAGGGCCGAGAATAATATAAGGGAGAAATTCGATAGAGGAGTGGCAAATAATGCATGGTGGTTAAAGTTTCCATTATATAAGTTGTCACACCTAACACACTCGATCTCAGATCACTGCCCATTACTCTTAGACACGATGGGAGAAAAAAAAGAGAAACGACATTAGCACTTTAAGTTCGAAGCAGCATGGCTTATAGAGGAATCACGTAAAAAAGAGTTTGAACAGTTATGGAAAGATAGCTCAGAATTGGTTCCATAAAAACTCAATAGAATTAGGGAGGGCTTAGACAAAGGAATCAGCAAGGATAAAAAAATAACAAAAAGTGAGCTAAAAAACAGGCTGAGCGACCTAATGGATATAGATCCCACTGAGGACAACCTGGGAGAAATCATGGATGTAAAATTAAGACTGAACATGGAGGTAGACAAAGCAGAAGTCTACTGGGAACAAAGAGCAAGGGCACATTGGCTTCGAAATGGGAACAAAGAGCAAGGACAATAACAACATTAAGATGTTAGAAAATGAAGAGGGGGTCAAATGCGAAGATGAGAGCATCATTCAAAATCTAGCAAAAAGTTATATTGAAAATCTGTTCACATCGTAACAAGGAGCGATAAATGAAAAGATCATAAATGAGGTTTCTTCCAGTATTACAGAAAGCACGAATGCAGTTCGTCTCCGGACCATTCACATATAAGGAGGTGACAAGAGCAGTTAATTTAATGGTATCTTTAAAAGCATCAGGAGAGAATGGTTTAGGAGCAAACTTTTACCAACGATTCTAGCACATAGTAGGAAAAGAGGTAGCCAGATATTGCATTGGACTACTCAACGACTCTCAGGACATTGAACCAATAAATCAAACTCATATCGTTCTAATCCCCAAAATTTGCAACCCATCTCAGTTAGCACAGTACAGACCCATCATCATGTGCAATGTTATTTACAAGATAATATCTAAGATGTTGGTGCACCGTATGCAAGACTTTCTCTATTTATACATTGACGAATCATAAAGTCGTTCCAGGGCGCTTAATCACATATATCATAATCATGGCCTAGAACTATTGCACTCATTCATGAATGTCGGACACCATCTTACCTGATTTGCGTTTTTACCAGAAATGTGTCGGGTTCGGGAGTCGGTTACGGTCAAGGAATGATTAGCACCCTTGAACCACCCTTTCGGTACCAATTAATTTGCCGGTTGTCTTAAATTAAGAAAATTGTAATTTAAAATTAAAATGTAAAAATACGATCACAATTACTTACCTTAGATAGTTTTAAAGGTATGTCCTTAAGAATGTTAAAAAACCATCAACAACAACAACAACAAAACCCAATTCCCATATGTATGGGGTAAGGGGGAGGTAGGGTAGTAGGCTGCCCCCAACGCCAGGTTGAGAATAGCTTCCGTGGTAGACCTCCGGCAGTCAGAAAATTAAAAATATAGATAAAATGCAATGCATGTATAAATAATTACATAAATACATAGCTAAACAGTATTCATATGCAGTCATTAATATCATATGTGCTTCTTTAATGGGGAGTAATCCCTGCAAAATAATCCCTGCGAAAGAATCTCTGCATATAGACAGAAACATAAGACCCGACTAAATTTAATAGAGGAAACATGACGAGAATGATACACAAAAGTCAACGATAGCAAGCCCAGTTCTAATCTTTCATAAATACCAATAACATAAAAGTATAAGAAGTAAAAGTCATGGAAATTACTACAAATGCATTAAAAGAAGACAGAGATGATACACCCTATAGATGTGACCCACACTACTCGACTACCCTAGTCACAAGCCTCCATAATTTCCTATCATAGGTCATGTCTTCGGTAAGGCCTAAATCCATCAAATCAGATCTCAAGCAGTCTTCCCACTTCCGCATTGGTCGTCCTTTCCTTCTGGCACCGTCGACTGTAATCGACTCTACCCTCCTGACCGCATCCGACGGTAGTCGCCTAAGGACATGCCCAAACCACCGTAGTCTTCCCTCCATCAATTTTTCGGAAACAGACACCACCCCCAAGGACATCCTAATAGCAGAGTTTGTCGTCATATCCCACAGAGTCCTACCACATGTCCATCGAAGCATTCTCATTTCTGCGGCCTCTATCCTCCTTACGTGATCCTTCTTGGTTGCCCAACATTATGATCCATACAACAGCGCTGGTCTTATTGCCATTCTATAAAATTTTCCATTAAGTTTTAGAGGCACCTTCTTGTCACACAAAACTCCAGTAGCGGCCCTCCACTTTAGCCATCCCGCCTTTATACGGTGTGTAACGTCATCATCTACACCCCCATCTTTATGTATCATAGACCCTAAGTACTTGAAACAATCCTATGAGGGAAGAAAGTGTCCTTCTATGCATACTTCTACATCTTCATCGTTTTGGTTCCCATTGAAGTTTGAACATAAATACTCTGTCTTTTCAATATTGATCCTTAAACCTTTTTCTTCCAAAGCAGTCTTCCAGGTAGCCAGTCTACTATTCAACTCAGATTTTGTTTCAGCAACTAGGACAATGTCGTCAGCGAAA